ACACACACGTATATGTATGTGTGTGTGTGTGTGTGTGTGCGTGTGTGTATATATATACATATACATCTATATCATATATATGATATAGATGTATATCTTCCTTTCTTTATAATTAATGTTCTCAACTCGCAATACAACTTTGTTTGTTATTGGCATTGATTGTTTTGAAACTGAAATGGCACTTACATGCTTGTGTTTTTATGTTGGTAATAAATACAGCGTTTCGTGATTAATTACAAAAAAAGTGTAATTAATTGGTTTTAAAATAATTTAATTAGTTATTTAAAATAGATTTTTTTTATCATTTGACAGCCCTAATAATTGTTTAAATAACATAAATAATTCCTGTTAACTTACAGCCACTGCTGTATTCTTTCTGGCAACAAACCTGAAAAAGTGGAGCCGATAGTTAAAAGTCCAGCTTCAAGACTCTCTCTCTCTCTTTCTGTGTGTGTGTGTGTGTGTGTGTGTGTGTGTGTGTTTGTGTGTGTGTGTGTGATAGACAGTCCGTGTCTCTCCTCTGTCAGTCTGTGAGTGATAATATTCAGGTGTTTGTGTTTCAACACATTCCAGCAGTGTTTCTCTCTCGCTCTGCACTGTTTAGAGCAGTAGAAACTCGACTGTACAGAGGAAATGAAAGAATTTAGGGAGGATTTAGTGCTCTCTTTGTTTAACCGACTGTGTGTATGTGCGCGCCTGGTGTTCATCACACCAACTGTCTCTTTAACTATAGCAATACCAGCTCATTTTGACCTTGTGGGGACATTTGTTTTGGTCCTCATGATGAAAGTGGCTCCTTAATCACACAGAATGTGTTTATGAAGTTTATGAAAATGTGAAAGTGCAGATTGTTTGCTGTGAGGGTTGGGTTTTGGGGTAGGGGATGAGAATAAACCGTCTGCACTGTAGAAACATCATTAAAGCAGTGGAGAGTCCCCATAAAGCATGAAAACCCAACTTGTCTGCACATCTACAAGTGCATATTTGTTTGAGTGTGTGTTTCTGAATTAGTGTGTTTTTGTATCTGTTAGTGTGTGTGTGTGTGTGTGTGTGAGAGAGAGAGAGAGAGAGAGTCTGCGTGTGTGTCTGTCAGAGTGTGCATGGGTCAGAATTTGCATGTGTCTAAGAGTGTGTGTGCATCTGAGAGTGTGTTTTTGTGTGTCAGTGTGTGTGTTTTCGAATGTGTGTGTATGGGTCTATTAGGGTGTGTGGGTCTGCGAGTGTGTTTGCTTCTGAATGTGTGTGTTCATTTGTTTGTGTATGCATCTGCTAGTGTCTATGTGTGTGTGTGTGTGTGAGTGTTGGTGCGCGTGTGAATGTGAATCTGTGAGTGTATGTGCATCTGTCAGTGTGTGTGTGTGCATCTTTGAGTGTGTTTGCTTCTGAATGTGTGTGTTCATTTGTTTGTGTATGCATCTGCTAGTGTCTGTGTGTGTGTGTCTGTGAGTGTTGGTGCACGTGTGAATGTGAATCTGTCAGTGTGTGTGCATCTGTCAGTGTGTGTGTGCATCTTTGTGTATGTGTGTGGGTCTGTGAGTGTGTTTGTTCTGAATGTGTGTGTTCATTTGTTTGTGTTTGCATCTGTTAGTGTCTATGTGTGTGTGTGTGTCTGTGAGTGTGTGCTACTGAATTTGTGTGGTTTTGTATCTGTTAGTTTGCGTGTGTGTGTGAGAGAGAGAGAGTGTGTCTGTGTGTGTGTTTGTTTGTCTGTTTGAGAGTGTACATGGGTCAGAATTTGCATGTGTCTGAGAGTGTGTGTGTGCATCTGTGAGTGTGTTTGTGTGTGTGTTTTTGAATGTGTGTGTGTATAGGTCTATTAGGGTGTGTGGGTCTGCGAGTGTGTTTGCTTCTGAATGTGTGTGTTCATTTGTTTGTGTATGCATCCGTTAGTGTCTATGTGTGTGTGTATGTCTGTGAGTGTCTATGTGTGTGTGTGTGTGTGTTTGTGTGTGTGTGTCTGTGTGTGTGTGTCTGTGAGTGTCAATGCACTTGTGAACGTGAACCTGTGAGTGTGTGAGTGTATGTCAGTAAGTGCTTCTGGATGTGTGTGTTCTCTGTGTTTGTGAGGGAGTGAACGTCTGCGTGTGTCTGTAAGTGTTTAGGTGTGTGTGAGTGTGAATCTGTGAGTGTGTGTTTGTCAGTGTGTAAGTGTATGTGTCTGTGTGCCTGTCAGTGTGTATGTGTGCATCTTTGAGTGTGTGTGTGTGCGTCTTTAAGTGTGTATGTGTGTGTGTGTGTGTGTGTGTGTGTGTGTGTGTGTGTGTGTGAAGGGAGGTCCTGATTTGCCACTGAGAAAAGTATGAAAAGCCTTCAGGGGGATTTCCTCTGAAAAAAAAGACCTCCTCCTCCTCCTCCTCCACTTGCTCTCTCTCTCTCTCTCACACACACACACACACTTTACACTGGACACAGAGCGTCGGGGACAGACTCTAGATCCTGACTTTCTCAGTAAACCTGGTCTTCTTGCTCAAACTCGCAGCACAATGCGTGAACTCCAGCAGAGTGTATATCCGCAGCACAGACGCAGCTCTGGATCTGAGATTATTCCAGAAATGCTGCCGTTATCAATCCACAACTAAACTGGAACTTTTTCTCGGTGGAGCAGCAGATTTGAGGATGACAACTCAGTAGTCGAGACTCTGTCGTCAAGATGGTAAATCAAACTCTTTTATTGTTTGTTTTATTGTTAGTTGTGTGTGTGTTGCTGTTGTGCTACTGACCCACTGAACTGCTGATAGCTGGACTACTGAACTAGTCAAAGCTGAACTGCTGCTCGAACTGACTGTGATTTAGGACTAGCACAGCTGAATTTAACCCTCTATCGCATGCATTATGATAAATCTATTTAAAAAAAAATATTTGACTGTTTTGCTTTTCTTAAAATGGCTTAAAGGTGCAGTAGGGGATTGTCTTCAGCATTGTTTGTTGTGCTGGTTGAAAGTCTCTTCACAGTATTTATATGTATTTTTATATTTTGGGTAATGCCTAGTTCAGACTGCGTGATTTTAGCCCCGATTTTGGCTCGCCGACAGGTTTTGAGAAATCGCCAAATCGACAAATGCCTGAAATCACAGGCAAATCGCTGCTCATGCACATGAGTGACAATCACACAGTATGAACTATCAAAGACGCGATCTGAGAGAATCGCCGATGAGTCGCCGATGCCTGTGAGATATTTGGCGTGCTGAATATCTGGAGCTGTCGGCAATTCAAATCATGCCGTGTGAATTGAGTTTTGACTGAAAATAACATCACCGATCGCTTACAGCCAATGAGAGAGCGGCATTCACTTGTGTGGTGTGTGTGTGTGTGTATACCTGCTGCAGGCCAGCGGGAGGCTGGGGGAGAAGTTAAAAGCACTAATTTTCGGTTTATTTGGACCCACGAAATGGAGGAAAAACTAGTGGAGGTTTGACAGGACTCAGGAGCAACCGTGTCTGTTTGACGTTTCATACATAAAGAAATTCGTTTATTATCAACGTTAAGGAGAAATGGCTAATTCCCTTTAAACCCAGGTGAGCAAACATGTACATGTTCAACCCCATTAAAGGTTTCTTTCTCATTATGTTGTTAATAACAAAAGATATACTACGTGTTTTTGGCTGTGAGACGTAGTTTGGACGAAGTTGTCGGCAATTCTTCCTATAGTAAAGTCATGCAATGTGAAAGTCCCTGTCGCTGATCCATCTTGCAGTGTAAACAAAGCAGCGGCGAAGAAACGCTAGCCCAGATAGTCAAGCAGTGTGAAAACATCTGTGCCACGACTACTTTGAAAATCCTGCGGTCTGAACTTGGCATAAGTGTGCATAAAACTAAAAAACGTTCATCCAATTAAATAGAGTCGGACCGACATCTCTCATAATTCCGATAAGTAGCTCAATCTGTCTGTCAGCACATGCAGATTTGAACAATTGCGCAGCCTTTTGTACGCAGCTCCGCCGACCACAAGAGAGCTAGCACGCGCGCGATCGGTAAAAACATGCTGAATCAAAACTTTCTAAAAACCTGAATCAATATTGGAGTTACCCTCGCACGCTGGAGAAAGGATGACACCATGTCTGAAGGATTTCTCTTAGATGGGTCATGTTCTGTTTTAAAACTGTTTTAGCTTCACGCAAAGCTGATGTAGCGTTAGATGTTGTTGTTACAAATGCGTTCAAAGAAGTGTTGTTCAGCCACTAACATCTTCAGATGAAAGATTGATAAGACTATTTTTTAGTTTCATAACGGCCTTTTACCGCATAGATAATGTAGATTTTAATTAGTTTAACAACAAAACACAAGTAAATATCGCTTTTCCGACTAGTCTCTTCATATATTGTTTACAATGCTACTCTGAATATTCACTCTGAAATAGCATGTCAGTTTGGTTTGCACGCCGCCGGACAAGCATATGCTTTACAAATAATGCTTTACATAAACTAGAATAAAAGAGACCAGTGTAAGAAAATGAAAACAAATAATAAAAATAAAAATAATAAAAAATAAAAAATAGGTAAAACAGATAAAAATGTGTTAAAAATGTGATTAGTAATATTATTAATAATATGAATATTTTTATTAATATATTATATATAAAAATATTTATTTGACGAGTTAAATTCACATGTTTCAGTCAAGGACTGTTATTGATGCACATGCTGGAGTTCAATAATAATCCCAAACATATATATTCTGGACTATAAACATGAAACACCTTGATCTGAAAGTTGACTTTCATTTTCTTTCCTTCATTTTCTATCTCATTTGATTCCATCTTTCTGTCAAGTACGAATAACTCTAGCCAGAAACAGGGCGTTGTTTATATCCAGGTGTAAATGAAGAGTGTGCTAGATTTTAGTGTGTGTGTGTGTGTGCGCGTGTCGTTCTGAATGACTGATGGTGTTTGGCTGTGAGCTCAACCCCTCCACAGGCTTTATGTTGTGCTTTATTTGCTTTAGGCAGGTGTGTTTAATCTCTGATACACCACTGATTTACACACTGACAGGTACAGTGTGTGTGTGTGTGTGTTTGTGTGTGTGTGTGTGTGTGTGTGTGTGTACATTGTATACCTTAAACTGTGGGGATCGCAATGTCCCCACAAGTATAGCAATACCAGTAAATTTTGACCTAGTGGATACATTTTGTTTGGTCCCCATGAGAAAAACGGTTCTTAAATCACACAGAATGATGTATTTGTGTGTGTGTGTGTGTGTGTGTGTGTGTGTGTGTTCACTAAAATCCCCTACTATATTTTCTCTTCTCCCTAGCTTTCTGTATATGGCATGTTAAAGTTACAGAGCACATTAGAGTCACACACATAAACAAACACAGATGACCTTAGACATAACAGGTCACACTTTATACTGTAAGTCCAGGTGTGTGTGTGTGTGTGTTGGGTTGTGAGCTGTTTATCCGCTCACACTTGTTTTCTTGTGCAGCGGTTAAACTGGAGGAAAACAGCATTACAGCAAACTCACACATTCAAACACGTAAACAAGAGTCAGACTGTTCTCAGACCAGTCAGCAGCTCACAGAGACCGACAACACAAAACATACACACTACACCACAGAAAACACACACACACACACACATATATATAAACAGAGAAACACACACACCCACCCTGTCCTGGCATTAGTATTCAGTGCACTGCCTTGTGTCTGTTATGACAGTGTGTTATTATCGAGACTCAACAGAAGTGAGAGTTTTGGAGGACGTTAGGCAGCAACTCTACAACAAACAGAGCTTCAGTGATATTAATAGAATTTAGTCTGTTGACAACAACACATCAAAAAATTATATAGTTTCCTCAATATGTGTGCATGTTTATGATTCAACAGTCTCACAATTAACTGAGAACTTTACTTTTTATTTTTATTCATTCATTAATTTTCTTTTCGGCTTAGTCCCTTTAATAATCTGCGGACACAGCGGAATGAACCGCCAACTTATTTAGTATATGTTTTACGCAGCAGATGCCTTTCCAGCTGCAACCCATCACTGGGAAACACATACACACTCATTCACACACACACTCATACACAACGGTCAATTTTAGCCTACCCAATTCACCTGTACCACATGTCTTTGGACTTGTGAAGGAAACCGGAGCACCCGGAGGAAACCCCACATGTCCAATTTAATAATAGTAAAAAGTAAGAGTAAAAATAATTAAATATTAAGGCTATAATAAATAATAAAAATAATAACTAATACTATATATATATATATATATA